ATTGTTTTGTACACCTGAAACTAATAATAATTTTAAAAAAAGAAAACTGAAATCTAAAAAAAAAATAAAAATAAAAAAAGTTTTGCAAGAAGAAAGTAATGAGATACTTTGAAAACTAAATGAAAAGCATTTCCAATTTTGTGGGTTTTTTTCCTCCTCACTTTTTTCTAGCTGCAACCAGTTCTTCCTCTTCTCCAGATGTGTCTCCCATGCAGCCCTTGCCACCCCACGCATACTCTACCCCTCAGCCGTCCCTTCCTCCTGTGAGGCCTTCGGCCTCGTTGCCTTTTGTGCCTCCCTCACCAGTCCCTTCTGCCCCACCACTTGTTACTTCTATGCCAACTCCTGTTTCTCCACCCTCTGCTGCTGCCTTCAGTAATCCGCCTGTGTCCCACTTCCCACCTTCACCTTCTTCCCCGAGTACTGTTCTGTCTGCTCCGCCTTCGGGTCCTCCTACATCAGGATTTGCTGTTGGTTCGCCTTATGACATTACAAGGGGCCATGCAGGAAGAGCTCCCCAGACACCCCTGATGCCATCGTTTTCTGCACCTCCAGTAACAGGTAATTCTCTTACTGATACTTTGAAATTAATGGCTATAGCTAATTTTTTTTTTTTTTTTAGTGACAGCTTTATTGATATATAATTTACATACCATATAATTCTAGCCATTTAAAGTGTACAACTCACTAGTTGTTAGTGCATTTACAGAGTTGTGCAGCCATCACTACAGTCAATTTTAGAATCTTTTAATCACCCCCAAAAGAAACCCCGTAACTATTAGCAGTCACTCCCTCCTTCGTTCCAAACCCTTATACCCCTCAGCAGCCTCTAGTCTACTTTCTGTCTCTCTGAATTTGCCTGTAGTGGACATTTCATATCATTGAACTCTTATAATATGTGGTCTTTTGTAACTGGCTTCTTTCACTTAGCATAAAATTTTCAGGGTTCATCCATGTAGCGTATGTCAGTGCTTCATTCTTTTTTATGTCTGAATAATATTCCATTGTATGGATGTACCACATTTTGTTTATTTGCTTCATCAGTTGAACTTTCGGGTTCTTTCCATTTGTTGGCGATTATGAATACTGCTTTTACGAACATTTGTGTACAAGATGAATGGACATATTTTCATTCATCTTGGGTATGTACATAGGCATGGAATTATTGCTGACTTTTGAAAAACCGCCAGACTGTTTTCCAAAGCAACTCCCTCACCAGCAGTGTATCAGAGTTTCAGTTTCTCTACATTGTTTTAAATTCATTGTTTTGATGTTCGGTTTCCTATTCTCATGTTTTTCCCATTTAAATTATTAAAGTAAAGCTGCTGTAACTTAGTATGTGATTTTTATATTTTGTAAAACTTAGTAGTACGTGATGAGTATATGGAGTGTCAGACAAAATTTCAAAATTTTGTCTTAGCATTTTGTGCACTTACAGAGAGAAACATCAAGGTGAAGTTTGAGAGAAAAAATTGTCAGGACTGAATGGTCCAGGGAATTTTATTTAGCCTGGTAAAAATTGAAAACCAAGTAAAAGCTCATGTGTGTCTTAAATTGGTGGTATTGGATCATTTCCTTTTCTAGGTCATCTATACCTACTGTTTAAGCTTCCCTGGAATGGTTGTTGGAAACCATATCAAAACTTCATACAGAAAGCAACTTTATTGTGATTTTTTTTTTTTTCAATTTTTTTTTTTTTAGCTGAGCCATCCTGCTACCTGTTGGCAGCTCAGCGGCTGCTCAGCTCGGGCTGGACTCGAACCGCTGTTGCTCAGAGCTCAAACTCTTGAGCGAGCTCTTAACCAACTGAGCCACTCGGCCGGCCCCTTATTGTGATTTTTATTATCCAACTTTGTATATCTACTTTTACAAATAAATTTTTTTGCAGAGTACAAGTAGTATACCCATGTTTATGTATTTATGAATTTTTTTTTGAGTTAAAATAGGGTATATAGAGTATGTGTACTAATTTTTATATGATGTGCTTGGGTGCTCACATCATTTTTATACATAAAAGAGATTAGAACTATGCTGTCCACATCTAAGAGCTAAAGAGAGCAAACCTGAAGTACTTGAATATATTTATGTTTTTATATTTATTTATTTTCAGGACAGTTGGTGTGAGCCTATGAAAAGGAAAGACATTTCTTTTTTGAAATTTCATTTGTATTTTATAATGGTTTAGGTGATTGTTTGAGTTCATAACTCAATCTTGAAATGCCTGATAATGTAGTTATATTATTTAAGCTATTTTGAACTGCTCACCTCATTTATTGCATCTTCTTTTTATAGGAAATAGTTTGTGGAATAAATTACATGTATTAAACTTTTTGTCATTAACTAGGTATTTTGCCAACTCCCATTACTCAGCAAGCCAGTCTGACATCTCTGGCCCAGGGAACTGGAACCACATCAGCCATTACTTTTCCAGAGGAACAGGAAGATCCTAGAATTGTTAGCGGTCAGGATGAAGCATCTGCTGGTGGACTCTGGGGTTTTATTAAGGTAAGCAGTATTTACTTTAAAAACCATGCTTAATTTTTAAATTTTGAAACTAATATATGTTCATTAGAGAGAATTTTGAAAATACAAAATGGTACAAGGGAAAAAAACCCTTTTGAGTCTTATTACCACTTTTCCATAGTTCCTCTCGGTCTTTTGTGTGTGCACATCTATGTAGATGTACCTCTTTTAATAAAAAATCAAATGGGGGTAGTGCCACGTGGACACATGCTATTTTGTGTCTTTTGTTTGTCTTTACCTAGCATATATCAAGAACATCTTCCTAGCCATAAAATATTCGTCAGAAATGCCCTTCTTTCTGGCTGCTTTGCCCTACATGCCGTTGCATTTATTTCCCATGTTTGATTTTGCAAAAGTGCTTTGGCGTTTTCTAATTGTAATTCTTATCAGTAAAGCTATGCTGAGTACTCTTATGTGCAAATCTTTATGTTCATCTTTTTTATCAGGATTAAGTCCTGATGAATGTCAGAGTGAACATTTTAAAAATTACTGATACATATTACTCTCCAAGAAGGTTATATCAAAATAGACTGTCACAGCATTTTTCACTTGTTAGCACTGTTTATTAACTCAAAATACAGTATTTTCTAATTTTATAGGCAAAAAAAATAATGCCTTGTTTTTATTTGCATTTCTTTGTTACTGAAGTTAAACATTTTTATGTATTTGTTTTTGTTTTTTTGCTATTCATAGTTCTCTAATGTGAAATCTCTAATCTTTGCCCAGTTTTGAATTGGGATGATTTTCTTTTCTTAATGAATTCATAAGAGCTCTTAATGCATGTAATAGGAAAATTTTATTATATGCTGTTATGTGTTGAAGTTTTCTCCATTTTTTACCTTACATTTTAATGTTATGCTTTTGACACAAAGGCTTCTAAATTTTCAGGATTCAATTTTATCAGTCTTTTTTCTTTTCAATTTTTTTAATGATAAAAATGACCTTTTTTCTCCACAATATATGATAAATGTTTTTCTATGATTTCTTCTGAATCTTTTATGGTTCCTTTTTTTACACTTATCAGTTTAATGTAGCTGATACTGTATTATATGAGGTAGAAGTCTAATTTTCTTCCAGCTGCTTAATTGACTGTTCCAACATCAAATCCCAGTGATTCAATATGTCAGCTTTATCTTAGTTGCTGCATTGTGGGTTAATGTTGGTCTCTAGGCCCTGTATTCTATTCCACTGCTCTGCCTTGCATCAGTACAACACTTTTAATTATTGTAATCCTATTATATTGATATTTATTGAAAGCTTACTGTGTGCTGAGGTGGGGATGGGGAAATGATGGGGAAATGATGAGTAAGATAAGGTCAGTTCCAAATCTCTGCATTCATAAAGACATCAGTTTTTGGTTACATAAGTTTGCCGATTTCTCTTTTCTATAAAATTTTCTTAACTAGTCTTTCCCTTTTATTTTTCTTGAATTTTGGAATTACTCTGTCAAGTTCCCCTCAATAGTCTGCTGATAGTTTGGCTGCATTCTATAGTAAACACTTTTAGATTAGTAGGTGGTTAACATGTTTGAACTTCATGTTTCATGAGGACAACATTTTTCTAAGCTGGCTTTTTTGTATCCCTCTGTGCTTGTTCAAGGTTTTCTTTATATAGGGACTATCTCTTCTTTTCCTTGTTAAGAGGGTGTGTCATTGTATCTGTTATCAGTTGTAATACTTGATTCAACTCCACAGGTCTTATAAATAGCTCTTCTGATATGCAGCATAAGGTTGGTCCACAGTCTTAAATATCAGTGTTAATGAACCACCTTAGTTTAATGGTAGGTTGGAAGAGGTGGACTCAGTGACTTGTTAGCCAGATGCCATCTTGGAGTCATTGCTTTCTCTAGTACCTTTCACCATGGGAGAAGTAGAGCACAAGACGGAAGTGCTCAGACCTGTTTGTTCTGTCTAGTTGTGTGGTTTTAAAACTCAGGTGGGTGCAAGACCTATTGGGGGATCATTTTGTGAGTTATATAAAGGTCCCACCACTATGCTGTACACCTGAAAGTAGTATAATTTTGTATGTCATCTGTAATTGAAAAATAAAAGAATGCAGAAGAATAGGTCTGGCTTAAAGGGAGAATTTGGGAATGGACAAGACAAGCAATGGGAGCTAGGAAAAAAGAAGCAGATTTAGTAGAGCATAACAGAATATTATATGCTAAGGTAGTAGGTAGTTGATTTGGGGGAATAAAGATGAGAATTGTTTTCACTATGTTTTTTTTATTTTTTTAAATATTTTTTACTATTTTTATTTTGTTATATATTTTATTATATTGGTCTATGGAGACATCTGATTACAGTCTTAATTTGGGACCTTGATGGATAAGTTTTGCCAATATTTTGTGGAAATAAATAAATTGAAATGCAATAATGTATACATATACATAGAAATGAAATAAATATATATACATACACACATGTGTATATGCAGTGTATATACCTCCCAGGCCAGTGCTACTCATAGTTTGATCTGCAGACACTGCTGTAGGTCTCTGATAGATAAGAAGTTGGGAGTAAGCATTGTGAAACTCGGTAGCAATTGAACATTGCCATAACCTTGTTTTTCTTAATCCTTTGCAAAAGTATAGGTCTATGATGCATTGGAAACCTAAAAAAAAAATTTCTTTCATTATCGGGTGATTATGGTGTTGTTTGTTTAGAATGGGTATTTATATTTTGTTTTATGCAGGGTGTGGCTGGAAATCCTGTGGTGAAATCTGTGCTTGATAAAACAAAACATTCCGTAGAAAGCATGATTACAACGCTGGACCCTGGCATGGCTCCGTATATCAGTATGTACTTAAGATAGACCAGCATCTGCCATATTTTTTTAAAGTTTATGCCAGTGTCAGCCACTCATTGTAATTAGTGGAAGTCCTCTTATAGTCTTAAATTGTGAGGTCTTAGTTTGGGCGTTTTTAATTCATCTTTTTCTTAGTTAAATACCATGTAATACATTTTGAAAACTTCTCAGAATGAACTTTGGAGGAGTAAAAATGATATGAATTAATAATATATATACTTACTAATTTTAAGTATGAATATGATTAGTGTTGCTTTATATGAATTTTATTTTATTCACTGTTGATATTTATTCATATTTGGTTTTGATGTTTCTCCAGTTATCTATTTTAATTAAATGTGTTTATACTTAGGAATATTATTTTTAGAGGAAGTTAATCTATTTCTTATATCTGATTGCTAGGTTTGTTGTTGTGAAAGCTGTTTTAACCACTTTTGAATTCTCTAGACATGCTGTGTGCCATTCAATTTTTAATCTAGTATGTGAAAAACATAATCGCTTAGCAGTATCAGTGATAAATTATTAGTAATTCTGTTGAAGATAACTTACAGGCCAAAGCTGTGTACCTGGTATCTGAATAGAGATTCACTGGCATTAGAAAGCCAATAGCTTCCACAAGTCTTGACTTCATTGGTCAAGATCTGACACTATCTGGTACGTGTCAGATAACAGGATCTAACAATAAGTACCATTTGTTAAATGCTTGCTCTTTAAGGCACTAATTCTTAAAAGAGCTATACAAGGTAGGTATTATTTTCTTCACGTTTTTGATAAGGAGCCTAGGTTCAGAGAGATTTAAGTTATCCTAGGTCCCACTTGGTGAAGTCACACTGAACCCATGCTCAATTTTTTTACACTTAGCCACTTTGCTTCCCTTGATTAGAAAATTGAATCAGGAATTAAATCAGCCGAATTATTCTTGGTGTTTGTACCTGCCAAAGGATTTAGAAATAGGGCCCTGCCATATATATTGATTTTATATATTAATAATCAAGTTTGACATAACCAATGCATCATATATATTCTTTTTTTCCAAAGTTCTTATTTTAAATGAGAGGAAAAAAGGAATCAGTATTTTTGGAGCCCTTGCTGTGTTAGTGCGTGCTGTTGTATTTGACTGTGAGAGCAGTTATTTTACTTATTCTTAGAGCAAGCCATGTAAAGTGATAGGTATTTTTTCTATGAAGAAACACGCTCAGCGACTTTCCCAATATAATGAAGCTAGAAAATGATAGTCAGGACTCAAAATTAAGACGGTTTCTCAAGCCAGTAGTCTGCATGACATCAAGAAAAAGGCAAAAAACCAAGGAGGGGGGATAAAAAAGAAAGATACAAAGTGAAATTTCTATTATTAGATAATAACATATAATCTTAATCAGTAGCTTTCATGAGTCTTGACTGTGTTGGTAGCTTGAAAAAGTAATACTGAGTGTGAAAAAGCTGACACTTTCCTAACAGGCAGCAAAAGCAAGACCATTCTTGTCTAACAAAACTCAAAGTGAAACAAGATATTTTTATACAAATATTCTAGAAATCACTAAGTTTAACAATTTTAAATGTATCAGAAAAGCATGAAAGCTATTAGAAATGGAGTTTAACACAGTTTAACTTTCTGCATTCTTTTAATTAGTTCTCCCTCCGTTATCATGAAAGGTGGCACTACTCATCACAAAAAGGCTGAAAAACACTGAGCGCAAGCTTAATGAAGCAGTATTCAGCTAGGATCAAGAGATATGTCCCACATGGAGAAAAAGAACAGGAAAAAAGTGTGTTTTTCCTCTTCTCTCCTCTGTGAGCCGTTGCTTTTAGGTTTTAGTCACTTCTGAATTCCAGTGAAGGTGGGATCTGTGGAACATCATGTCCGTCAGGAAAAGGATCCATAATACAAAACGCAAATACTTGGAAAAGATTTTCAACTGGTCCACAAGATATTAGGGAAAAACTTAGCATTGTGTCTGGGCAAAATGTTTTATAATACGAACAGCTTTCTTGAGACATCTCTTTTACCAGTGATAGCCTAATGCCAAGTAGCAAAATATGCAGTACTTAGAACCAGATCTTTGAATTCAGTGTATCGCAAAATGTTAGATCAAGATTTTTAAAATAATTAGGGATATTTGATCAAATTACTCTACAATAGTACACAGGTTTTTAAAATAATTGAAATATTAAAAATGTTTTAAAATATTTTAATTTCATATTACTCTTAGCCTTTTAAAATTTTAAGTTTTATAAAAGTTGGTATTTCATGTTTTATTTATGCTTGCATATTAGTGTTAGGACAATAGTAGGTGTGTAATTTATAAATATCCATTTGTGGTATGTGTTTTTTTTTCAATGATGGGGGCATATAATTTAAAAAGTTTAATTCCCACATTTTAAACTATTTTCTAGATAAAAAGCACAATTCATGGTAGTCTTTGTTTAGTGCAGAACTTCTGTGCATCTCTTTGGCAAATTGTATCAGTAACAGTCATTTTCATTTTCTATAGAGTATCTCGTGTAATTTATACTTCATAAGCCAGATATTTAATTTTTTTTTAATTAAAGTTTACTGGGGTGACAATGGTTAATAAAGTTACATAGGTTTCAGGTGTACAATTCTGTAATACATCATCTATATATCACATTGTGTGTTCACCACCCAGAGTCAGTTCTCTTTCCATCACCGTAAAGTTGATCCCCTTTACCCTCATCTACCACCCCCTCCCCCCTTACCCTCTGGTAACCACTAAACTGTTTGTGTCTATGAGTTTTGTTTCTTCATTTGTTTTTCTTGTTCTTTCGTTGTTTTCAGTTTTATATACCACATATCAGTGAAATCATGTGGTTCTCGACTTTTTCTGTCTGACTTATTTCGTTTAGCATTATAATCTCAAGATCCATCCATGTTGTTGCAAATGGCACTATTTCATCTTTTCTAGTGGCAGAATAGTATTCCATATATTTAAGTTCAATGATTGCGCCATAGCTGAAGGATTGGCAACTATGGCATCTACATGGTGTTAGAATTTTGTGTATAGTATTTATTAATTAACAGCAGAAAAGCCATTTTGATTTACAACCTTAAAATTGCAATAAATGTGTCTATCCAAAGTTTAAACCAATCAGAAAATGAAACTTGAGTAAATTAATACAGTAGCATAGTAGAAAACAAATTGTACTCATAGCAGCTGTAACATAATTTCTCAAATTGATGTCTTTAGAACACTTTTTAGGAGCTATTATTAGATGCTAAAAAAAGTATTCCATGAACAGATTTAAGTATGGAAAGTACTAGGTTAAAGCCATGATTTTTAATGGTTGGATTTCTCAAAATCTTAATGCTAATGTGTGTTGTAATTTTCCAAGAAAGAAATATGATGTGCAGCATCTCCTAAGCTTAATTCACCACAGAAAGCTGTTTTCAGGGGAGCTATTAATATGTTCTGGGACAGTATTTCATAGAATATAGAACAATGTGGTGCTCTATTTGTGGCAGATATGATACTCAGAACCATTAGAAGGCATGTGACACCTGCTTGCAGATAGACTCCCTCAGATAATGCATTAAGTTCTAATTTTTATTAGAGGAAAATCTACTAAGGAAAATTTAGTACTTCAGGGCCAAGCACTTGTTGGAATAAAATGCCTATATTTTGCATCATTCTGTGAGGTTAGTAATAATTATGCAAATAAAATGTTAGTGTATGGTAGTAATTATGAAAATTTCATTATTTTCATTGAAATTTTCTTCTGGTCTTTGTAGAATCTGGAGGTGAACTGGATATTATAGTGACTTCGAATAAAGAAGTAAAAGTTGCTGCTGTCCGAGACGCCTTCCAGGAGGTCTTTGGTTTAGCTGTGGTTATGGGGGAAGCCATTCAGGCCAACATTGCCCCACAACCAGTGGGCTATGCAGCTGGATTAAAAGTGAGTCGTGGAATACTTTTTCAGGATATAAAAATTGGCAGCTAATTTTTTCATAATTCTGATAACCCTATGATCTGTATGGAGCTAATTGGTTTTTACATACTAAAATAATGATCAGCTTTGTTTTTAATTAGACACCTCTATAGTGTTATGAAGACATAGTCGAGTTTTAATTGAAAGATACGTAAGATGGGTTTTGATTATTGGGGGAAGGGAGAAAACAGACACGAAGAGAGTAAGTAGTTACTCCTAAAAGAGATCTTCTTAACCCAGTGTTAACATTCAAATCCATTGCTAAAGATATAATAACCCTTGAATCCTGTAGACTTTTAATTACAATCACTGTTAATAATGTTTTACACTTATGTATTTCTTCAGGGTTAGGTCCCTGTGAGCCTCTAGTCACAGCATTTTTGCCAACCGATCAATACATAACTTTTTTTATGTCTGCTTCTGTTTAATACAACTTAATGTGTATATATTTGATTCACTAACATTAAACTCTCACGGCCGACAGCACTAGGACTCATGCCTGAATGAGGCTTATCTAACACACGGTTGCTCCGTAAGGCGTCACAGTCCTGTGCTTAGAAACACTAGACAACACTTCAGCACTATACTTGGGGGCCATTTTAAACAGCAGAATCACGAAGAAAAAGCACAACTATGAAAAGTACAGTGCTAAAATGATTTTATTGAATCATAGTTGTGACCATTGTTTTATAGCTTATATTCATCAAATAGAGCTGTAGTTAATATCTACAAGAATGTATGGAAAAAGCATGAAATTTTAGTTCTCTAAACCAAGGCAATTAATAAAAATTCTTAAGAGTATAGGGTAACTTCTTAAGGGTCTTTGTGTATTTTACTTCAGTTCTGAGATAATTACTTCAGTGTGGTCTCTATGCTACCTAGTTCTTGAAAGGTAAAACCTTAGCAGGTCTATAATTGTGATTCCAAAAGATGCCACACTTAATTAATGTGGTCAGAGGAGAAGAGAGGTCAGTATTTTCATTTTCTCTTCTGGATTCCATAAACAAACAAAAAGAAAAGAATTAAACTTGTCTACCTAGCTCACTTTCATATCTCTTATAGGTGCTAATTAATTCCAATTAAATATTTTGGGACCCCCCCCCTATGAAGTTTAAAGTTCACTGTTGTAGGATAAAGGAAATGAGCAAACTTAGTCTCTGTTCCCTGGAAGCATAAAATCTAGGAATATTTTTTTGTAGTGCGTAGCTGAGATAGCACCTTCAGAAAGGGATGAATTCTAAACATCCACTAATCCCCTAATAGTTATGAATTAACATTTATTTCAACTTTATAATTAAAATTCAGTCATAACTACCTCTTGGCAGGAGTGAATTAGGCAAATTTACAATATCCAGTATAAAAAAATTAAGTTTATATCTTGTGTTATATTTTCTTTAAATTCAACACCTGCCTCTTCATCCAGTATTAGATTTGTTGAAACCATAATTACACTATTTTGATTCTTAACATTAGTGATAGAGGCCTTGATTTTTTTCCTTTGTTCAGTGTTTCATGTAGCAAGTTCTTACTGAATGCCTATTAGGTCAGATACTGTGCGAGATACAAGAGGAAGTGAAAATACAGTCTTGATTTTATTGTAGTTTAAATCATATCTTCTTTCATCTATCTTTATAAGCTAATGTCTTTTTTGTAATTGAACAAAAAATAATTTCTTTATCTAAACTATTAATGGATACCTAAATACAATATGGTTTTTAAAGTGAAATTATGTGTATATAGCTATATTCATAAAGTACACTAATCAAAAGCTATCCAATAAATTAACAAGAAATCCAAATACAAAGATATTCCTCTGAATTCCATGTTTCATTGAGCATCAAAAACCACTAATCTTCTAGTCCTTTTCTTGTACATTATTCTGTATCCACATTCTCTGCATCTGATTGGATCCCTGGATTTTATTTCATTTTCTGTGTGACTTTCTCCACAGATAATATCATTGGCTGCTGCTTTGGGGGTTGAACATCCTTCTGGGTGTCCATTTCAGACCCCAAGTAGCACAGAGAAACTCCTCACTCAGATAAGCTAATGTCTTTGGTTAGATAGCTAATAAATTGGTTTACCCGTTCTCATACGGCTGTTACTTTCTGTTCTTTATTTCATTTATCTCTTAAATAAATTCGGTTGTCTCTAGAAGTGCCCTAGCTTTCTCAATTTTCATTGGAATAAGAATTAACCACTTAATCTCATTCACCATTAAGCTCTGTTGTCCATAATAAAAATAGGTATTTACCCATGGCTAATTTTAGTCAGAAATAGAAAGATTTTTATCTTGCTTTTTCAATACATTCTCACACATCATGATCACTGTGAAGCGATTCAGGTAAAAGTAGTAAACAACAACCTTGTTCTCATTAATCCAGGTTTTTATCTACTAATAGATATATTTAATTCATGATTTTGAGTTATCTGTATAATATTCATGGCCCCTCAGTTTTGTTTTATAAATGGTTATAATATTCCTGAACAAGCTCTGGTGTAATATATACATTTCCAATTTAAAAAGCTTATTTTGGGGGCCGTCCAAGTGGCTCAGTTGGTTAAGAGTTGGCTTAAGAGTGCGAGCTCTGAGCAATAGGACCACCGGTTCGATTCCCACATGGGCCAGTGACACAGTGCCCGAGCTGAGTTGCCGCTGAGCTGCCAACAGGTGGCAGGATGGCTCAGCTGGTGTAACAAGATTGCCTGTTCAATGATGGGCTATGCCCGCCAGCAACTAAGACTGAACTTGGCACCTTGAACTGAGCTGCCGCCCGGATGGCTCAGTGGATAGAGGTGCGCTCTTAAGGCTGCCAGGTTCGACTCCCACATGGGATGGTGGCTACGCCCACCCACAACTAAGATTGAACACAGCACCTTGAGGTTAGAGGCCACGAGCTGCCAACGGGCAGCCAGATGGCGACTGGCGCCCTCCACAACGAAGATTGAAGAACAACAACTTGGCTGGTCCCCTTCCCCAATTCCCCAACACTGTTCCCCTCCCCCAATTCCCCAATAAAATCTTTAAAAAAAAAATAAAAAGCTCATTTTGGTTCACATTTTTAAGGTTATATTTACAGAGAATCAGAAGAAAGAAAAAAATACATTTACCATTGATATGATTGCATACTTAGAAAATTAGAGACAACTGCAAAATTACTGGACTGACAAAAGATTCTTATTTAATAAGAGGACCTCTTGCCAGATCAACAATAAAAAACGTAGTTTCTTTATATTACTAATAACCATTTAGAACATTGAATATAAAAATCCATTACACAGTAGCAACCAAAATACTAATGCACATTGGAATAATTTGGAAGGTACACTCCAAACTGTTAATACTATCCTGAGGAGAACACGATTCGACTTTTTCACTTTTTGTCATCTGTATTTAAGTGTTTACAATGAGTATATGTGTGTCTGTGTATAAATGTATGCATGTATTGCTTGTATAATCATAAATTAGTATATTTAATACTGAATAATTTAAAATGGGTTCCAACCTACACTGTTGTTATTCAGGGTGCCCAGGAACGGATAGATATCTTGCGTAGAAATGGAGTGATCCATGAAAAACAGATTGCTGTGTCAGTAGAAAACTTCATTGCAGAATTGCTACCTGAAAAGTAAGATGCTTTTTTTTTTTTTTTGTAATTTTTTTTTATTGTAATGAGAACTTTTAAAGATCTTTCTTAGCAATTTTCAAATATACAATACAATGTTAACTATAGTTACCATGCTGTATATTAATTACATCTTTATAACTTATTTTATAACTGAAAGTCTGTACCTTTTGGGGGTCACCCATGTCCCCAACCCCAGCCTCGGGCAATCACCAGCAGTTTGTTCTCTGCCTGTGTTGAGTTTTGGTTTTTTTGTTTGTTCATTTTTAGATGCCTATATAAGTGAAATCATATAGGGATCTAAAGATAGTTCTCTCTCAGACTTATTTAACTTAGCATAATGCCCTCAAAGTCCATGCATGTTGCCACAAATAAGATTTCCTTTTTCATGGCTGAGGTGTGTGTGTGTGCGTGTGTGTGTGTGACATTTTCTTTATCCCTTCATCCATCAGTGGACACTTAATGTTACTTCCATGTCTTGGCTATTGTAAATAATGCTGCAGTGAACATGGGGGTGCAGATATCTTTTTGAGTTAGTGTTTTCGTTTCCTTCGGATAAATATCCAGAAGTGGAATTTGGTGGATCATATGGTAGTTCTGTTTTTAAATTTTTGAGGAACCTACATACTGTTTTCTATACTAGCTTTTTTACATTCCCAACAGTGTACAGGAGTTCCCTTTTTTCCATATCCTTGCTAACGCTTGCTATTTTTTGCCTTTGTGAGAATAGTCATTCTAACAGATGTGAGATTATATCTCATTGTGGTTTGATTTCCATTTCCCTGATGTTTAGTGATGTTGAGCACCTTTTCATATACCTGTTGGCCAACTGTGTATCTTGTTGGGAAAACTGCCTATTTAGAACATTTGCCTATTTAATAATTGGAATATTTGGGGGTTTTGCTATGAGTTCTTTACATATTTTAGATATTAACCGCTTGTCAGATATATGGTTTGCAAATATTTTCTCCCATTCAGTAGGTTGCCTTTTTATTTTGTTGATGGTTCCCTTTGCAGTGCAGAAGCTTTTTAGTTTGTTGTAGTCCCACTTGTTTATTTTTGCTTTTGTTACCAAATCCAAAAAAGTCATTGCCAAGACCAATGGTATAGGTTACCACCTATAGTTTCTTCAGGTTTTATGATTTCAGGTCTTATGTTCAAGTCTTTAATCCATTTTGAATTAATTTTTGTGTATGGTTTAAAGGCCTAGTTTCCCCAACACCATTTATTGAAGAGATTCTCCTTTTCCCAGGGTATATATTTTGCCTCCTTTGTCATAAATTAATTGACAATATATGTGAAATTATTTCTGGGATCTCTGTTCTGTTGCATTGATCTATGTATCTGTTTTTATCCCAATACCATGCTGTTTTGATTATTACAGCTTTGTAATATAGTTGGAAATCAGGGAGCATGATGCCTCCAGCTTTTATTTCTCAAGATTGCTTTGGCTATTCAGGATCTTGTGGTTCTATACAAATTTCAGGATTATTTGTTCTATTTCTGTGAAAAATGCCATTGAAATTTTGATAGGGATTAAATTTATCTGATATTTTTTATTAGTGTATAGAAGTACAACAGATTTTTGTATATTAGTTTTGTATGCTGCAACTTTGCTGTATTCATTTATTATATCTAACAGTTTTTTGATGGAACCTTCAGGGATTTCTATATATAATACTATGTTATCTGCAAATAGTGACAGTTTTATTTCTTGCTTTCTGACATGGATATCTTTTATTTCTTTTTCTTGCCTAATTGCTCTGGCTAGGACTTCCAATACCATGTTGAATAAAAGTGGTGAGAGTGGTCATCCTTGTCTTTTTCCTGCTCTTAGAGGAAAAGCTTTTAGCTTTTCACTATTGAATATGATTTTAGCTGTGGGCTTGTCATATGTGGCCTTTATGTTGAGATACATTCACTCTGTGTCCACTTTGTTGAGAGCTTTTTTTAAATCATAAATGGATATTTAATTCTGTCAATTTCTTTTTCTGTATTTCAGAGATGATCATATGATTTTTTAGCCTTCATTTTGTTAATGTGGTGTAGTACATTGATTGCTTTATGTGTGTTGAGCCATCCTTGCATCACTGGAATAAATCGTACTTGATCATGGTGTGTCATCCTTTTAATATTGTTGAATTCGCTTTGCTATTTTGTTTAGGATTTTTGCATCTGTATTCATCAGGGATGTTTGCTTGTGTAATTGTTTTGTGGTGTACTTCTCTGGTTTTGGTATTGAGGTAATGGTGGCCTTGTAAAATGAGTTTGGAAGTATTCCCCCCCTTTTCTATTTTTTGGGAGAGTCTGAGAAGGATTAGTGTTAATCCTTCCTTAAATATTTGGTATACGAGTAATTCACTAGTGTAGCTATCTGGTCCTAGTCTTTTGTTTGTTGGGAGGTTTTTTATTAATGATTCAATCTCCTTATTAGTAATAGGTCTGTTCAGATTTTCTACTTATTTTTCAGCTTTGGTAAGTTGAATGTTTTTAGGAATTTATCCATATCTTCTAGGTTTGCAATTTCTTGGCATATAATTGTTCAATAAGAGGCTTATGATGTTTCTTTTAGGAGCAAAGTAGAATTGGGTCTAAGAGACTCACAATGAATACCTAGCAAAAAATTTATCCAGTTTTTAGAACCAGAGAGAAAAGTATATTCTGGTTTATCTATATTACTTAACTAACTATGTGACCTGTGTGGCTCAGCTCACATTTCTACCCTTTTTAACTATAAAATGAATAATATCTGTGTTCTAAGAATCTGTTAATAAGCACTTAATATAGTAGTTTAAGTATAAGGCGATACAGTTGTATATTGGCTTGGATGTAATTGACTACTAGTAGCAAACACAGTCATTTGCATAATTATTCAGACTAATGGAAGGTATGAACAAGAGGGCCTAGTGACAGTTTGCTAAGCTGTCATTTATTTAGTTTGGAAAAAAACTCCAGGCAACATAATTTATCATTGTTTTGAGAGCATTATACTTTTAATAGATGGCTTTTTTTTTATGGGAGAATTTTTTTAATATGCTGAATTGATTTATATTGAAATAACTTCCCAATTGTGTAAATCTACCTTCTTTAGTAATCACATTGTGGTTTTGTTGTTTATTTAGCATTGACTAACACTGCCTAGTACTTTGTGGCTCTAGTGTACAAAATATATTCTCCAACTTTGAGGATGTATTATAGGCCTATTAGAAGAGAAAATATATGCACATAAGTACAGTTTTAAATGATTATATAAGAAGTATATAATTTTTTGCTGATAGAAAATGTTATATGTACAATTTCAGTGGAGGTAGTGTCAGATGAGATTCATGAATAATGGATTTGAACTGGATTTGAAGAATGGGTAGAATTTGGATAAGTGGAAAAGAATGAGAAGGACATCTTGAATGGAGGGAAAGTTTGAAGATGATTAAGATATATCATCTGAAGTCAGTGGTTATATCAGCTTCACAGAATGTTTTTAGATAGGAAATGAAGCAGTGGTTTCGGACAAATTGTGAAGAGCTTTGAATGCTAGGTTGAGAAGTTTGAATTTTTTGTGTAAGACCCAGGGAACCATCCAGTGATAATTATTATTTTGTTTTTCACTCTACCCCTCTATTAACCGTTTACTATTCATTTAATGGTTACTTTAGCAATTATATTGTGCCTTTGTAATGTATTACATTATAACAAAAATTATGGCTTGAGAATATGGGAACCACATTTAATACCATTTACCCTTTTCATCTTTTGCAGTAGTGTTGTCAGGTTTCTTTATTCTGCATATTTTTTAAACACCTAAGACATTACTGTTGGTGCTTCTGTGCATTCAATATTCGTTTGTTTCTTCTCTGAATTCCTTCCTGCATTTTTTGTTTTTCTGTCTGGGATGATTTTCCTTGAGTACTACTTTGTAATGGAAGACTAGCTATGAATTCTCTGTGCTTTTGTCTGTGTGAAAGTGCTTTTAATTCACCTTTGTTTTTGAAGAATGTGTTTGCTAGATACAGAAGTATACGTTGGCAATTATTTTCTTTCAGCACTTTAAAGATGTATTGTTTTCTGGCTTCCATCATTCTATTAAGAAGTCAGCAATCCGTCACAGTATTGTTTCTATGAAGATAATGTGTTGTTTTCTCTGTCTGCTTTTAGGGTTTTTTTTTTTTTCTGTCATTTTATTTTTACAGTTAGCTATGGTTTGCCTAGGTTGATTTGCAT